AAATAATCTTAATTCCATAAGAAATCGCTTAGGATTGGGAATAAACTGTATCAGTTCAGATCATCTAAGAAAAAGATTAGTCAGAAATAACAAGAAGCTTTGAAATGTCATTCCAGCAATGCTATCAATTTATCAAACAGCGCTAATGCAATTTGAAAGCTTATATTAACTTTTGTTTTCGATACTAATAGCTATTTAATAAGTAACCAACTGACTATGTAATTGTTAAATAATATATTCTTTCATAACAAGTAATGTTACGCATCGTTGACTCTGTAATTATTTTGATAAAATCACATAATTTAAAAATATCTATTCTCTTTTAAAATTATATTATTGATAACGCTAGACACTGTTAATAAGTGTTTCAGTGTGACAAATAGTAATCTGTGTCACATCGAAATAAAAAAAATATTGTAAAATCTTTACTCGGTCAATAGAGAATGAATTCAATTACTCAGATGCGAGTTGGTAGTTACCAGTTTCGCCACCAGGTGGCTGATTCGGGGGAAATAACATGGCGGGGTATTACAAAATTCCCATAAACTTGAATATTCCTCAGTTTTAGTGGTTCACTTTTCATATTACCCTCATGTATCTGATAGTTATACAAATCAAAATATGTCCAGTAAAAGAAAATATCATCTGCCAAACACAAGAAAAGATATTTCCATTTTTGTGATTTTAAATTTTCAAAGTTGATAAATTGATATCTTAATAGTAGCCCGGACAGAATTGTTCAATTGTCACTTTTTCTTTAATAACGTTTTTAATTTTCAGTATTATCAAATCTGATTACGTATTTGAAAACTAGAGTAAAATTCTGACATACAAAAAAATATTCAAGGAACATCTCTTAATTTATTGATATTATCGGCGTTCATAGTATGAGTGACGCAAATACATAATTCACCATTTTGTCTCATATTTGTTCAAAAATGGCGGCATGTTTTGTGGTTTGAATGTTCAGTTGAAAGTTAATATTTAAGAAATGTCATAGGCCTACAAATCATGTAGACCCCTGCCTTGGTATGAGGTAATGCCTGCATTTATAACCTTTTGTTTTAAATTGACTTGTATGTATACCAGTACTTAAAAAGGTTTGTACATTGTATGTATAGTATATTGGTAAGGTCGCAGGACTTACAGTTTTTTGCCCATTCCATTGTTACTTGCAGTGGATTAGCAACCCTAGTTCGTTTAACCTGTGCAACTAATGGTAACCGGACAACTCATCCCCTAGACAACTCATCCCTGGACAACTCATCCCCTAGACAACTCATCCCCTGGACAACTCATCCCCTAGACAACTCATCCCCTGGACAACTCATCCCCTAGACAACTCATCCCTTAGACAACTCATCCCCTGGACAACTCATCCCCCGGACAACTCACCCTTTGGCTTGTTTGAGTAATTTAATGTAATATTATTAATTCATATATTATTCAAATGATTAACAAGATCCTCGATTTAATACCTCACTTTTGTTACGTAAACAGAACTTCAAAAATGGTTAAGATTTGCACTTCTAACTCTTTCCATTTACATAACAATATAGTAAGGTATTAAAGCAACGATTCTGTTGTCTCCTGACTGACAAGTGAACAAAGACTTTCTTGAGGGGAAATCTGGAAATTGTTTAAAAAAATATGATATCCATGGTACTACTGTGGTATTGTCAAGGAAATTATCAACCAATTAATCTGTAGTTTGTTTTATAAATATTTACCTTTAATTTTACTTTTAATATACAATTTCAATATTATGTTAACATGATTGAAGAAGCTCCTTTGATGTCATTATATGTGTGTTGTTCATAGTTCAAATATTCTTTAATCCAAAGATAATTTTTTCACAGCAGTCACATATGAAGCTACTGAAGTTCATGTTCCAAAATTATGCAGAGAGAAAACTTTATTTTTTGTCATGAAATATTAAGTCATGTAATATAAGGACAAAATATGAAAGTTTTAATGGCACCATTTGACCATTTAATTTGTGTCAATAAAGTGAAAAATAATATTTAGAATGATTCAAGATGTATTTAATAAATATTTATTCATGTGATAAAGGATGAGTTGTCTAGGGGATGAGTTGTCTTGGGGATGAGTTGTCCAGGGGATGAGTTGTCTAGGGGATGAGATGTCCAGGGGATGAGATGTCCAGGGGATGAGTTGTCTAGGGGATGAGTTGTCCAGGGATGAGTTGTCTAGGGGATGAGTTGTCCGTAAGCCCAACTAATAGGGTCATACTGCCACAGTTTGTAATATCTTTCCCAGTCACACGGCTCTTAACCCATCCTTGACATGCATGTGAATTGTTCTTCAGCTTTTCAATGGCCTCTGAGATGGCTGTTTGGAGCTCTTGAAAAGATTGAGGACCTACTCTCATCACACCCCGCACATTGGGGCGCCACCTTTTCAAATCCTCTTGAACACAACCCCGAACATTTCAATAGAGTTTATGTCATATACCCTCGCAGGGAGTAAATTTCTTGTATTTGATGAATGGTCAATTGCTGCTGCATTACATCAGGATTGTAACGGTGGCAGCATGGCCCCATAGTCCTACGACAATCTTTTAATATTAACTTTCAACTGAACATTCAAATTCACAAAACATGCCGCCATTTTGAACAAATATGAGGCAAAATGATGAATTGTGTATTTGCGTCAGTCATACTATGGACGCCTATAATATCAATAAATTAAGAGATGTTCCTTAAATATTTTTTTTGTATGTCAGAATTTTACTCTAGTTTTCAAATATGTGATCAGACTATGATAATACTGAAAATTAAAAAAGTTATTAGGAAAAAGTGACCATTGAACAATTCTGTCCGGGCTACTATGTAGTGTTATCCTATTGATATATTTGTTCTATACAGGTTTGTTATGTTAACAATTTGTTATGTTAACAATTTTGGAGCCTTCGTGCCTAGTCTCATGTTCGTGGAGTATCATGTTTGAAGTGAAATAAGGAAAACCATCGGATCTTATTTTAAAATATAACGAAAAAAATAACGAAAATTTGCAACATCTACCTTATGCTGTCAAAAATAGCTAAAAATTGAGCTGTTTAAAAGAGGTAGAGTGACTATGTGCTAAATATTCAGAATGTGTTAGTACTCTTACGGCATGTTTTTGTCTTATAAAAGCAATAACATACTAAACGTAACAACATATGGTGAGAAGTGGTGATCGGGGCACTTTATGTTGAATGATCATAATTTGTTGATGTTTTTATTTCCTATTATGTTTTACTTGATGTTTGACTCGTTTTTAAATTAAAAAATTACTGAAGTAGGATACAAGACTTTTTGGGAAAATGGTTGCAGTAGTTAGGTTTAATGTCAAAATTGGGAGTTCGATGTAATTATCTCGTATTTAATAATTTAACTTGGTCACTTAAATTTGTACCTTCATGGGCGTAGGGCTATATTTTGAGTTGGTACGCACACTCGGGGATTCCTGATTGCGTGGCCGAAGGCCGCGCATCGCAGGGGGTCCGGGGGTATGCTTCTAAAATCGCTTAGATTATATAAATTCCCGGGGGAGCATAACCCCGAAATCTTTTTCAAGGACGTTATATTTGATGAAATCTAAGCGTTTTTATCAACTTTAAATGTTGACAATGGTAAAAATACAGATACGGTAGGAAGCATCAATAAATTCGCAAATAAATTAATGCATTTTAACACATTTTTTATTTTTTCAAATTCATTTGGTACGCCTGTGCGTATTTTGCGTAATAGGCGCTATACGCCCATGACCTACGCTTAAAAAAAGTCAACATTAAAAACTCTTTAATGGTCATTTGAATCATTTTGAATAATAAGTTAACTCCATAATATAAAGCACATTTTATGGAAAAATATTTTCAATATTTTAACCAAATAAAAATTGTGAACCAGCCAAAATTGCCCCCTGTTCATGAAATCACTTATTGCTCAACATTATTACTTCAAGACTTTCGTTATATTATGTCATTATATCCTTATTCTTGTCACTCTAATTCTTTTATCATCGTTTGTTCAAGTTACATACATTTGTAAATATAGATGTTGACAAAACAGTCGCCTCGCTTTTGCGACGAAGACACTTGTGTGTTGGTCCTAGCTAGCTTCCAGGAGATTATTATGACACACTATCAAATTCACTATACTACAAAATATGTCGATGTGGTTCAGAGGCTCAAAGGTGGTACATTTTAACACAATTCTGACAGGAGGTCATGCTCAAAATGAAAACTGAATAAAGCAGCACTTATTCTAAATTAAGATTAAAAAACGTATTCTTGATATCTAAAATTGTTTTTCCTGAAATGATTTCTTTTGTTATTGTATCAAGTATTATTATGCACCTTGTCTAGATCCTGAAGTCTGATTGGTGCTAAGCTGCTGGTAATTTGGCCATATCTGGCTTTTTTAAAAACTGCCCAATATTTTTTTGAAACTACCCAATATGTATTTGCAACTGACATATGTTTGCAAATGTTTTTCGCCGAGCCCAATATTTTTTCAATGATAGGTATTCTGGCCATATCCAGCTCCTGATCATCCAGTTTTTGTATAATATCAATTGTCTTGGAATGAGTTTGTTTTGGAGATTTTCCTCGCATACAAGGGTATATCTTTATTTCAAAAATACCTATTTCAAGATCCTTTCCACGGCCCTGTTGATTATAAACCCTTTTCACAAAAATCACCCTGATCGTTAATGCATGTCATGCAAATGTAAGATAGCTTAGTCCCGTCTAGTCCATTTGGTCGACACTGTCAATGGGCGATTAAAGCAGACAGAATACTTCAATCGCGTTTCAACTTCATGAATGACTTGAATAATGACACGAAAGTTACTATCGACTACATTACAAACAAATACAAAGTGCCTTGTTGCGTAGTCATGGAAGTCGGTATTTACAACTACTTTTACACACGAGTAATATGTACAACAGTACATTATAGTTATGATGTTGGTGTTTTATCTGTTACTATTACCTGAACATGTATATCGACCTAGCTTCGGACAGTCAAGTGTAACAGTCAGCCCTGGTTCTGTTTTTGGCCAGCAAAGAAACTTGTCGAAGTCTGCAGTACAATTACCTGAAATGTAAAAAATGTAAATGCTAGTTATGTGAAAATAATTATTTTTGTTTTACAAGATTAGTATTCACAATATCTATAGTTTGATGTAAGAGTATCGACGCCTTCGTTTTGTTGTTCTGTAACATACCTTGTAACGGTAATAAAGCAGATGTCAATGCATTAGGAATGAGCATTTTTGTTATAATTTGCAATAAAATTATTTTGTCCACAAAACAGCAATATGTTGCAAATGGACTGCCTCTGTCACGAATGAATTTGGGATAGAATAATTTTTTCTTCAGTTGATTTAATTTTTAAAGCTAGAAAACAAAATTCCAATGAGAACACTATGTAAACAAAAATCAAAAATATGCTATGTTTACTTCAGTTGCATTTCATTAGCATAAAGGTATGCAGGTCTATGCACTACAAGGGACCATCTCAAATGTAGACTAACATTTTTTATAAGTACTCAACAAGAAATCTTAACATAATCTTACAATAGTTGTAATCACTATCACCACTTGAATCTATTTCGAGATTGGTGATTACAGGATTCCATTTCCTTAATAAGATATTTTCTCTTACCCATCTCTAAGTAAAATGAATATAATTGGATTTGAAATTATCCCTATAACATTGCTGGATAGAAGATTATATGATCGCAATGCTTATAAAAATCACAATGGTCAGTCCATGCATGAAGTCGATTTTCATTGGTTTATGATTCGACATTGGTTGTTCACTTATAGGTAATCACCCACTGAAATATTTTCAGTCGCAACAATTGAATTATAGATTGTGCCATATTAAATTCTAATTGGAATTTTGTTTTCTAGCTTTAAAAACTGAAGAAAAAATTATTGAATAACAAATTCATTTGGGACAGAAGCATTCCATTTGCAACATATTGCTGTTTTGTGAATATTTTTTTTATTGCAAATTTTAGCAAAAATGCTCATTCCTAATGCATTGACATAGACTTTAGTGTGAATGGTGTCTGAGAGGTATTGTGTTTTTGGATTGTTATGACTCATTATATGAATTGTTGGGATGGGTTTACACAATCTCTGGAGAGTTTATTTCTTTTCCATTACGACATGCGGTTGTTCTAAAATATCGGGTTATGAGCAAAAATGAAACATACTAACTAATTCACCGTTATTCATATAAATTGAATTTAATCAAGAGTGATAGAGTGATATTAAACGGTGCCACTATTGCTAACAGACAAATGAACGGACAGACATACGGACAGACGGACAAGTCCGGGTTTGCAATAGGCCGTCAAAATTCCCTTAAAGACAATACACATGTGACAAAAGATAGCTTGTGAGGCAAGCGCCGCAATATCACGGTGCCCATGTCAAGCTGCGCGCCTACTTAGGCGCGCAGTTTGTTTCGATCACAAACTGCGTGCCTGGCAACATTGCATCATTTAAGTTGGAGTCTGTATTTTGAAACGTAATTTAAAGAAATTTATCCTGCATTGTTTTCTTGTTCAATGCGTTCATTCTGTGGCGAATATACGAATCTTGCAAATACTAGCAAAAACTATGTGCAAATGAATCTAAATTTTAAAACATAAGCAGATTAATGGCATTTTCGTCACTGATTTAACGGGAAATTAATACGTAAATCGATCTAGCACTTTAAACATAAATGACAAATACTTTAGACTCGTTTTATATTTAATTCTTTACGCATTTATCATGTATAATTCAAAATATTTCGAGATGAAACAGATAATCAGGAGATTAAAAAGAAATAAAACACAAACTGCGCGCCTATTTTAGCCAGAAATTACAAACTGTGCGCATACACTATTAAAAATTCATATTATCATTGGAATTTCTACAGAGGCACGTGTAGGTGTTTTTCATATACCTTTGGAAATTTTGCTTTATCGTCAGATTTTATGAGATTTTCATATTGAAAGTCAAAATATATAATAGAAGTGACAATTAAGTTGGGAACGAAAAACTTTTATTTTCAGATCACCATCTTGGTGGATGGACTCTCATAGTGTTTCACTTATGGGGTTCTACTATTAGACACATAATATGTGCCTTACATATGGTGCTTACGTTTTCTAATAATACAAAACAAGCTTGGGTAGGTAAGCAGTTTGAAAATATTAGGCACGCAGTTTGGGAAATACATGTGAATATAGGCGCGCAGTTTGACAAGAAAAATGTTTAAATCACGTTTATGGCGTATTATCGTTTTGAACACAAACTATGCTGCTTTAATCAGATGGAGTGATCCTATATATCCTAGCATACACAGACGCAATGGCTGAATAAACGGCAAATGACGATAAAAAGACATAGATATAACTTTACACTGTGAATTTTGAACACAGAAGCTACTTAAGACCCTTATATTGAGATAACTAGGTTTACATCGGGAACAACATTGAGTACTATGAGTAAATTAAGTTCATCTTCACAGAATGGTACTGTCTTTAGAACGAGACTAACCTTGTATTTTTCGTATTCTGGCTCTTTTTGGGAGTCGTGTCCTCCCCGTCTTCGATTTTGAAATATGCGCGCAGTTTGTCAGAGTTTCAAACTGCGTGCCTAGGCACGCTGCTTGACATGGGCATCGTGAATATGGACATTTAATTTGTACGTATAGGCTTAGGGCATTTCTTAGGCACACAAGTCCAGTTTTTATAGATATAGTTTAATGGAATTGATATAAATTTAAAGACGATGTGAAAGCGAGCGATAACATTTCGTTTGAAATCTGGAGACAAATCCTATGAGCAAGCTAACAAAATGAAGTTCATCCATCATTTGTAATCAATTCATAACCAGCTTTTAGAATATTCAGAGACAATTGACAAAAACACGAGCTGGTGAATATGAAAAATCACATAAAATATTAGTTACATAATATGAAATAGCATTAAAAATATTGTGCTCGATTAAGCAAATCCGAACTACTAAACCAACAATTATAACGCATTGTAATGGTTTATTGTAGTATGAAAAAGGAATACTGAATTTAGTCCAGTATAAGCTACCGGTATCCAATTCCTTCGGAGACTCTCCAAAGGAGATACAGTTGGGGAATATAAACCAATTAGAATATCAGCACATTTGACATGCGTTATTGTTATCAGAAATATGAACATCTCTGGGAATTGGGCCTACAATATATTCAAACAAATGAGGCTTATACTTCGTCCACGAAGTTTAGATATTCCTGAGAAATAATTCCTTTGTAGAGCCCTCAAGACCACCCCCCCCCCCCAGTATCCATCAATGAGGTGAACCAGTAAAAAGTAGTGAGAAGTGGTGAAAGATCTACACAAGACTTATCTGATTTCCTTAATCTCCCATTTTATATTATTTCCTCGTATTATATGTTCATATTATAAAACTATGTCTACTACATTCGATTATTTTCAATAATAATTATTCGACACGCTATTCATTAATTATGAATTGAGTTCAATAAAAGTAATTTTTGTATTTCCTTAAATTAAAAGGTGAATGTATCGTGATCAATACCAAGCTGAGTAAAATCAAATCGTATAGGAGCTTTCAAATACTAGGAATCGTTTGATTAATTTATACAATTGTTGAATTGTTCTTAGAAGACATACACATGGTACATGCAATCATTGCTAATCCGAATGGGACTGATGCAATAATTTGATAAAAGGTAAAGCTATTTGATAAAGTGTTCATCTATTAGCATCATGCGCCTTCTCCTTAAGATGAGAAAACGCAAAGGTATATATCGGAGAAATATTGTATAACCCTCTTAAAGCATTGGAGACGTCAGATTTGTGAAATTCATAAAAGGTAGTATAAAATATTAGGTCAAATTTGAACTTCTGGGAATTTGTAGATTATTTTTAAACCTCTCTTGTGTACCAGGTCGTTCTCGGAAAATGCTATCATTTCGATTCAAAGGTTTTAATATTTTTCATGGAATATCCATATGAGGTTTGGCAGGTGATTTAAAACGCTCATATCTTTCACTATGAGTACTTTCTGATGAAGTTTTAGACCCCTAGCAGGGGCGGATCCAGGATTTTCTGTTACTAACTGTAAGAGAAGCGAACTGCATGAGTGCACGCAGTGAACGAGCATGAAAATCGGGGATCTGTGGGTCCCCCCCCCCCCATAAAAGTTCGCACCCCTTAACAAATTGGTCATATATAATGGTCTCTATGGTAACTTGACTTTTGAGGAGGCGGGGAACATTTAGTATGAGGCAAAATTACGAGTGAATCAACAGCTTTTCCTCTTATTTACTTTCTATGTATACATGCTACTTCTCAGAGTTACATGTATTGTCCTACGAGGTTTTCAAAGTACTCTCCCTTGTGTTAAATGCACAGTCGCTGGTGTCCAACCCCATTGGTGATACTGTGCTCTGGTACCTTTAGGGAAACTTGTTCGAAGGGCCATCTGGATCTGGACTGCAGTTGAAAGTTCATGTATTGTTCCATGCCATACATGTCAACTCATTTTCATCCTGTTCAAAACAGCTGTTCAAAAAGGATTGTCTCATCATAGAATCTTTACCCTACACTTTCCGAATCTCGTGAACCGTCCTTCCAAGGACACAGGATCTAGTGGCAGATCTAATCTGTTCTCCTCTTTTGGAATTTCAGTCATTTTGAAGTGTCTCAAGCGTGACATTTGTTTGATGATGTCATGAGCAATCATGTGTGATATAAAGAACTGTGATATGGATATAATTAATACTATATTAATCATTTGTAAGTTAAACCACAACAGATATAATATATAGTAGGAAAATAAACCGTCATTCGCAAGCATTGTTAGATTTCAGTGTAATTGGTAAATTGTGTGGTGCACCGCCTAAAAATGAAGTTACCATATTAGCCATTATTCTTAAGAGATAAGAGATGCTGATATTTTAGGAATGATAACCAGATATATTTCGATGTTATGTACAAGTGTTATGAACAAGATCCAAAACCGAGGCCTTTAACTTATTGAACAACCTGGTGTAATCTTTGAGATAAAAGG